TAAGAGTTTTTATTTCCTCTTCACCTGCAACATTTGGTACAAAACTCATCTGATTTTAGCAGCCAACTGCAAGATTTAGTAGCCAAACTTATTACAAATCAGACAATAAAATGCTAAGAACCAGTTTACTAGCCCAGCTCCGGTTGTGCGGTGCCAATGCAATGAAATACAAACTCAAGTGCAAATGGGGTTTCAATCAGGGAAGAAAAGACAGATGAGCTGATTCACTTCTTTTTAAAGTGACTCCCTAGCATTGACTTGAGCCAGACTGTTAGACCTTATGGAGTGAATTGGGCCAGGAAACAATGCAAGAAATACACTGTCACTTGAGGGAAGCTGGTTTCATGTTTGGAAGACTCAACCACTAACCAATAGGCATGTTGGAGAACATAATGTAACCTCTTCCAAGAGGCATTTCCTGAAGATAAGACTACTTGAATACTGGAAATAAGGAGTGATTATGACAAGTGCAGCAGTTTTGTTATGTACCATATTGAATACACACTTGGCCAGTTCCATCAGTAAATTACATACAATTAGAGTGTGAACAATAGCTTGCTATTAGTGATGTCAGATGCAAGGCTCAGCCCTGCTGCATAAGCATTCCAGTGAGTAGAGTCAGACAGGGTCTCCCGACACCATTCTGTCGTTACAATTTTAAATACATAATAAATATTTAAAAAATACCAGTTATATAACGAATTCTGCCCCCTAAATTCCCCTTGGAATGAGTGTCCCACACCCTTCTATCTTAAATGGTTGTGCTATGTTGCTGTACAAGGCTATGTTACTGCTGCATTTAAATGGTGGATGAACTCATCCTTCTATATCATGTCACTGGTTAACTGTGTGAAGCACTTTATTACTCCAGGGCATGAAAAATGGTCTTCAAACATTAAATTTGCTCCTTCCCATTCATCTCGCTCCTTACCACTCCCACTTTGATTTTGGTTTCTTCCACACCTTTCCTCCATGCACACCCTCTCACTACTTGTTCTTCTTCCTTTTGTCCCTTTACGCATCACATGGAAATCCACAGAGATGAACAAGAACTGTAAAGTTACAATAAGACAGAAACCTAGCGTAAGTGCTGTGCAGGCTGGCGACTCTGATAAGACTATCGTCAATCTGGGTCAATGCTTGCACTTAAGCCAGGGGTGTCCAAACTTTTTTCAAAGAGGGCCAGATTTGATGAAGTGAACATGCGTGAGGGCCGACCATTTTGCCTGACATTCTTTGAACCATTAAAATTAAATGCAAATTAACTATTTTATGCAAAGTTTATTGCAAACGGCATACTTTTCATTTCGTCACATGGATGACAAATCTAAACAGGTGTTAAATCACTCTGCCTTTCATATCTGAAGGCCAGATGAAAAAAAAATCCAGGAAGCTGAAATATATGTCAGGAACATTGTAAAGTACATTACATATTATTGGTAATAAAGGTTGTCTGTCAACTTTTAAGTTCAAAAAATATGAACAGGAACATAACACCAAGTATACATGTTGTGTCCAAATATATTCATAGCTGATTTAGACCAACTGACATTAACTGAGATTTTACAATGTATTCATCTCAATACATATGGATTCGTTGGGGGCCATAAAAGATAGATATTGCCAAATTACCTGGGGGGCCGTATTAAACCAGAACACGGGCCGCAATTGGCCCGCGGGCCGGACTTTGGACATGCCTGCTTTACGCCTTCCTATTCCTCATTTTCCCCCTTTGCTTTGACACAGACATTTGTATGTTTTGGGGCCCTTTTCAATGAACAGCATTGTGTTATTTTTATTGGCCCATTTTGTAGTTGGTAAGAGCTGCCTTTTTAAGTGCACCAGGTGTAACTGATTGGTAATGTGCCCCTATGGAGTAGCTATTTTTAAAATGGTAACCTCTGAACATTCACATTACATGCTACAAATGCATAGTGCTTCCCTTGACATTTTAGTTTGCATGGAGGCTAAGGAGGGAAGGAGGCAAGTCTACTTCAACAAGGAGAAGTGTAGATCCCAGGACTTCAATACAAATCTCAGTCTTTAATTACTGGGCTGGATATTTCTCTTTCTATCTTGGGAAAGGGAGACCACACAACTCTCAAGGAAATACACGAATGTAACATTATCAGTGGAGTTCTTAGAGAGCTTTCCATATATTCTGAAGCCACAGAATCTGCCACAGAATTCTCTCAGAGTGCACAGTTGTGCTTTAATAGCTCAGCTTCCATTTGAAACAACAATCAAGTTTCCAGCCCTTACGGTTTTGACAAAACTTTCCCAAGTGTGAACAACGTGAACCAATGCAGCACTTATCTTCCTGAATCTTCACTTGGGAGTACGAGCTCGGACAGGTGCAGGCTGTCCTGTGTGACTTAGTAGAACTGTTTAGCTCTGCAACTTCTGTCAACGCTTAACTATTTCACTGGTGATTATTTTAGCAGAAAGATCCAGTTAATATTTCTATGCCAGAATCCCAACATGCCTTCCATGCTGTCTCAGATGCCAAAAGCTCCAGTATCCCATGTCTCAATATCCAAGTTTCCTGCTTCCCCGCTGACAACTCCTCAAAAAAAAATTATGCATTACCAGAGCAAAAATCTGAAATGTCTTGAAAATGGCATTTAAATAATTGAATATCTGACAAAACTAACACAAGGAATAACGTACTAGCTATTTCCACGTTCAGCCCAATAAAAGATTCATATTATGAATTTATCTGAGGGTACCTCAGAATTTCCAGAGACTCTTGCTGGAGAGTTCAGGTCCGGCTTCCCACCACGCCAGGTCTTGTTTACAGTTAACACATGAAACTCTCAATGAAAGCCAATCTCATGAAAAGCCATGTATACCCTCTAAAACCATGTTCATCAGCAAAGACATGCTACAGAAGGATCTTGACACTGAGTTTAGTCTAGCCAACCCTGTTTTCATGAGCAAAGAGCGCATACTGGAGCAGATGTTACACAGGTAGTGTTCCCATGGCAAATGCATAGGTCTTGTTGGAAAATATATAAAATAGCAACATAGATATTCTGGTGCTTTCCTGGCATAACAAACATTTACTGAGGAAATGTACAGTCACTGGTATGACATGAAAAAAATGGGTGGAGTCAAGAGCAACCTTGTTTAGTGGAATGGTGCTGCAAAGCTAAAATTGGCTAGGTAGGAAAAGATGTATTAAAAAGGAGACAGCATTTCATCATTACTCACCCAACCCCACTTACAGCCTGTTCCCTTTTGTTCCAGGAAGGCTCGCTCAAGAAGGAGGAGGAAGAAATTCATGCTTTGACATCTGAAACTCCAGTGCTGCTAAACTAAATACAGACATGATAAACGGGTGAACTGGTAGCTACAATGTGAAATGATGTAGAAATTAGTATTTATTTGGCTTAAAAATAGTTACTTATCTGTAACTGGAGTTATGGGAGATGTGATGCCACTTTGCATTCTACTTAGATGTGCATCCTTGCTGAGATGGAAGGAGGTGACCATCATGCCGACTCAGGAGAATGGATGAAGAGGAAGAGACATGGGAGGCTGAAATGATAACGTGAGCAAGTCAGAGAATCAACAGTGTCTGGGACAATCTGGAATGATAAGAATGAGCCTGGCATAGTCCAATTTCTGCTTGAGACCCACCTGCAGGATGATCAGAATTAGGAAGAAAGACATACAGGAGTGCTGATCAGAAAAGCATTGGTTAAAGAGCCCAGACTGAGAGCAGAATAAACAGCATTTCTTCTTATCTTTCATGGTGAACAGGTCAACTGAGATGCCTCAGACTGCAGAAATGGTCCACAGGACACTGGGGTTGAGAGACCAGGAAGAAATTCTTGTGATGTGATCTGCCAGGTTATTCTGGAACTCAGCTAAGTGATTTGCAAGGGAAAAAATTACCTTTGTGGCCAAACTGCCCGAAGCCCTCCCGCATTAATATAATACATTACGACATGGGCAGTAGGTATCATTGGGTATGTCTACACAGCTATGTTAAATGCGTAGCTGAAGTCAAAGTACCTTAACTCAGCTTTTGGCACTGTCTACACAGCAGGAAGTCAAAGGAAGAACACTCTTCCTTCCACGTCCCTTACTCCACATGCTCCCAGTGCTGGGGCTGCTCTGACCATGCTGGAAGTCCAGTGCTGGCCAGGGGAGGGAGGGCATGCTTCAGAGGCAGGTGGCTGTGCCACCCAGAGCTCAGGGGCTGTGCTGCCTGGGCCTCCGAGGCTGAGTGGGGGGCTAGGGCCGTGTGGCCTGAGACCGGGGTGGGATGGCCTGGGCTGCACTGCCAACGTTTCTGGAACCAAGGGAGGAGGCTGGGTGTGCTAGCTTGGGGTTCCTGGGCTAAGGGGCACAGGGACCGGGTGTGCTAGCCTGGGGCAGGGATCGGTGGCCACAGTGCGGGGAATCTAGGAGTGCTGGGCAGGAGCCAGCATCCACAATGGGACTGAACTCCAGTGGGCACAATAGGGGTCGGGCCTGAGGAAGGGGCAGGGCTGGTTCAGCCAGGGGTTCACCCACTGCCCAGATGCACTGGCCATGGTGGTAATGCTTGTGAGCATGAGAAGCACTAAGTCCCTGACGTGGCTCTGAAAGGCATTGCGGATGGCACAATGCTCCAGGACATTGATAAGCAAAAAAGCTTCCTGTTTGGCTCACAGACTTTCAGTGATCCTACATGTGCTCCCCAACTTATTATGGAGATATCAGTGACTATCGCATTGAGCCTGGACCCTAAGCAAAAGGAACACCATGAGGCCCGTTGTCCTGAATCATCCAGCAATGTAAGGAGTCTGGGCACCACAATCCCTAGGGAGTGCGGGATCCAGGACAACCCCTAATCTGCTCCACATCTGCTCCAGGCACCTGCCCCACCTCTTTTCTCTCCTTCTCCACCCCTTTCCTGCCCCACTTCACCCCATCCCCAAGCCATGCCCCTGCTCTGCCCTCTCTGCCCCCCTTGCAGCCTCCTCCCAAGTGCTGTGACCGGGGGTTTTACTGTGGGGAGGAGGCCTGGTGCCCCCTCACTCACCACTATGGTAGGAAGCAGAGTGTTCTGGCTCCCAACCATGTCCCTCAGGAGAGTGGAGCGAGCTGGGGCCAGGGTGTTCTGCTTCCCACCACTGCAGTGAAGTGTGGAGCAGAGCAGACTGAGGCTGGCTTCCCACGGCTCCCACCACCATTGGTGAGTGTGGGGGCAGGCCTGACCCCTGCTGCCAGCACCAGCCCTCCCCCCACCTGGGCACTCTCCCCTTGGGCCCCAAAGGCACCCCCAAAGCACGGAGCCTGGGTAGGGGTGATGAATCAGATGATAGACTGACTTCAGTCACATCTGAAGAGCACAGGGGCACAGCCTGCCATATCGGACTACCTGTGTGCATGCAGTCATATGGTCTAGCAATCTTGTGTGTACCTGGGCTGTGGTAGGGGTTTGAGACATGTGTGACAAATCACCTGGAATCATTTGGTCAGTGGAAAAACTCTCTCAAACTCAAAATCTAGCAAGTCCCATACAAAGTCCATTCTTTGAGTTGGAAACAATGCTAACTTCCCATTGTTATGAGGAGATGAGATCTAAACCCTTGAGTAGGCACAGAGTAAAGTGAATAGGAGACAAGTTTCTCTCTGGACTTCTCCTCATGTAAATAGTCCTACAGATAAGAGTTCCACAGTTCCTGAGGTACAAATGTTATCAGTCACATACTTAGTAAAAACCCCTGGGGGTGGAAGACAGGTCGAAAGGCAGCATGGTCTTAAGGTGATGCCAACTTACCAGCACATATCTAAGGAACCTCCTGTGTGGCTCAATGGAATTTAGCATCTTGCAAGTCCTGAATATGTAAAAATGAGCCAGCCTGTTCCAAAACAAATGGGTACTGAGAAGGAGAGGTCACCCCGAATCACTGTCCTGAACAAGAGACAAAATAGGCTCTTACTGGATGCTAAGGGATTGGATGGGTCTCAATTCATTTTAGGACATCTCTTCCTTGTATACTAGACTAAAAGGAACTGCCAATCAAACGAGGACCCCGGTACTGACATGGGTCCCGGGGCCTATTCCAGCAGGTGCTGCTTTAGCTGCACGTCTCTTACCACCTGAGCCCTCTTTGTGCATGAATGCAGAAGGAGCACTGCTCTGTATGTGTCCCTCACCAAGACACAAACACCTCATGTAGGGATAGCCCTCCCTGGCACACCAACAATGCTTGACAGAACTGCCCTGGCTATCGTTTCTGGTAACTTCATCTGAAGAGTGAGTTGAGTGCTCAACCGCTCCAAAGGATTAGGGATATCAGCTGGAAATTTTTGGTCTCACAGAATTCAAAATTCTTGGAACCATTTGAGACTTGGAATAGTTATTGTCTCAAAACAATAGCTTCAGTTTGCTAAGGTTGGCGGAGAGGAATGAGGTCAAGCAATACAGATTGCTCTCCCTCAAGCTAAATCAAAATAATTTTTTACATGTAATTAAAAAAACAAATACGACAAGTTTTCAGAAGGTCTTTTTTCAGTGTTCCATTGCCAGGTCATGGTTTATAATTTCAAGATATGTAATGCTGCTGTGAAGAATGTCTTACGTAGCCACCTCATAAAGATGATTTAATTAAAAAATGTGGGGCACAATCAAAAGCCTGTTGAAGTCAAAGACTTCAAGATTGCCATTGACTTCTAATTGGGCTCTTAAATACTGCAGTCATCTGCTGTGCTGAGTGATATACATTATTTTCCTCATCTAAATCTATGTTAGTCACACCTTTAAATATACGAATGAAGGAAGTAACTGTAGTGTTCACAGTCCTATTTCACAGGCTGCTTGTGATTCACAGACTGTTCTACCGCCATATGTAGTACAAGGTCTTACACAGGTGCCACTAACTGCCAGGTAAAGGACACATACTGGAAATTCCCCATCTGTTCTTGGGGAAAGACCCAGTCAGATCTACTGAGAGATGCTGAAAACTATTTAGGATAAGGTACAATGGATAGGATTCAAAGGAGAAAGTGCAACATTTCAATTACAATATTTCATTTTACATTTTTAGCCTAATTTGGTCTCTGTGTGGTAAACAAGATATTTTACAAATGCCTAGTAGGAATAATTGATAGTTCATGCTTCTGTGTGTTATACTTGTTAAAATATTTGCATTTAAAAGCAAAGTTGGACTTCTAGCTCAAGGCTATATATATGTCTTTCCTAAGGAACATCAGAAAAAAAAAATCATTTTGAATTATAATTGTTTTCAAAATCTCATATTTAAAGAGACATTCCTCCTGTTAGCCTTCTCCATCAACTAGTACATTCGGGTGATGCCATAAATTAGGAAAGGATACTGCATGGGGGGACCCAATCCTCCATGCCTTCTCTGTTCACACAACTAGCTCCACTGAAATCAGTAATGCTGTTCACATGAGTAAGGATTATGTATGCAAACAAAGAATGGAGGGTCAAGCCTCAGGTAATTAGCATTAGAATAAGAGATGTAGCTTAAGAGTATCTCTCTTTTACTAGGAGATCAATATTTTAGTTAACTTCATCACTTGATTCAGAAAAGCAAATTGTTTGAACTTGTACGGAAGGTAATGATGGTGACATAACGGACTTGGTGCTCAAAAATGCCTCCTGAATTCTTTGTACATGCATTAGTTATTCTGTTGAGAATTTTCTAAAAATCACCCCCCTCCCTTTATTAAAATATTTCAAGCTGGACACCCTAAAGTGGAGGCATCCAAAAATCACTGGCCCTTTTTTAATGTGAAATGTGACATTGGCAATGTTAATTTCAACACGTTGCTAGCCATTAATGAATGTGTAAGGCAAGAAGATATTCACATTTCTTCATTCCATGTGTATATTTAACACTTGAGTGTTCTATATATACACAGACATACAAGATATATATTATGTATATGGGTTATGTTACTTACCATAACAACCTTCTTTCAAGTTAGCAAAGTTTTTGGGGAGAACAGATATAAAGTGTTTTAAATCAGATGATCCATCTCAAAACACCTTATTCTGATATGACTGCTGGTCAAGATTTATCAGGGTTACTGTGAACAATAGCACATAATGTATGAGCCAGCTCCAACAACTCTGTTTCCAACATGGCAACATTTCATAATGTAGACAAGATCTCCCACAGCAGCAGAAGCCCCCTACTTCTTTCAGGCTGTGGGTCTCAAGTTGTCTGCTGATAAATATCTCGTGCTTGATCTTGGGTATTGTTCTGCTTCCAGTACATGCTCTGGCAGTGCAAAGGAAGTGAAAACTGGCCACTCTCACCTTCTTGGGCTGGGGAATCACCAGTCAGCGTTGAACAGGCTTAACCAGTTAAGGGTGGATGGTGATGGGAGGACTGCATTGTGCTTATCACCAGTTGGTTGCCAGTCTCTTGGGAGCTGTTAACAGCTGGGGACCTCTAAAGCAGCCCTCAGCTTGCTCTGAACTCCACTGAGGTAGATATAAAACCAGCCCCCGGGATCAGAGAAACACTTGCTCTTTGATAGTGAACGCCGCACTTGGCAGACGATTTGGCTCATTTTATTTATGTAATCCTGCCTCATCCTGTCATTTGCTCTGTGTGCGACAGGATTGCTGGCTTTTGTTACACATGCTGCAACAGTGGGCAGTATTGTATCAATGCAAACCATTATCATTTTATTAACACTGCCAATAATAGTAATATTATTAAACTTCAGACTGGCAGATGAAGTCTGCAAAGATTAACAAACTTTAAGGGAAAAGAAAGTATGTTTAGACAGTACATTGTCTATTGAAAGAAGTAATTGACAATGGCCTTGGCAATAGTATGATATCCAGAAGGCATCAGTTACTTGCTTATGCAATCATATAAAGACATATTATGCTGTAAAATTGTTTGGGGGTATGCCAGGGGAAAAATAGAGCAGAAGAAAAGTGTGTGATGTTATTGTTTGGCCAGCGTTCCTATAAAAGCTACGGGCTTGTACAACTCCTCAGGAGGTATCCAAATGCTGCCTGTCTGATTAGCAGAGTGCCAACAGCTACGTTTTTTTTTTTTTTTGTTTCTACTGGTGGTGCACATTCACACATGCCATGACGTGCATAAAAAATTATTCCACATATGGATGCAAAAATGTTTACATGGATGGAAAGAATTATAGGGAGCACTGACAGGCACATCAACTCATATCAGATGCCATATCCAATGTTGGGACTTGCCTGCAGCAGAGTTACTCAATCACAAGGAACTGTAATTATGCATGAAATGCTTATTTGTCTTTGGCAAATATTGGCCAATTACATATTTTGCTGACTTATTAATAGTCTCTTACTGCGGATACTGCACAAGAAAATGCTTAGAGTGAAACAGTGGGAGTCTTATAGGTCATTATCTTACTGATATGTATTCATTTAATACGAAGTCAACAATGTTGTTCTGAGAGTCCCTCTGAAAAATGTTTCTGATTTGTATGTGGTCGCTTTTCATTCAAGGAGCCCCTTCAGAGCTGGCCATCAGTCCATGACATGCAGTTCCTGGAGATTATAGCCAAACATTTCTGCCATTCAGTAGGTGATTCCCCATATTCCTATGGAACAGTTCTAATATGCAACATCACCTTGGGAGGGTTTGTTAGAGAAGATGTAGAGCAGTACTCCAGTCTTGCAATAATAGATGGTTAATTAAACTGGGGAAATTATGTTAAATAGATTGATGTGATACTTTTGAATTCCCACTAGTATTTAGCTGGTGAAAACGCTACTGATTGTAATGCACTAATGAAATGGCAATTTGTGAATGAGATCTCTAAGTCAAAAATAGACATAAAAGAAGGAGAGAGAGAAATGTTTCATATTTCTATTGGAGGCCAGGGAAGTCTAATGGTCAGAACACTTGGCTGTAGTCACTGTGGCTTGGTTTCCATTCCCAGCTCTGCCACTAACTTGTTGGGTGATGCTGGGAAAATCACATCATTGCTCCGTGTCCCTGTTTCCCCTTTTGTAAATTTTCGGTCTTATCTATTTAGACTGTTTTCGGGCCAAGGACTGTCTGTCTACGCAACATTTAGCCAAATGGATCTGCAATCGCAAATGGAGCCTCTGGATACTAATGTAATAAGTAGAATCACTCGGCTGGAAGGGACCTCAGGAGGTCATCAAGTCCAACTCCCTGCCCAAAACAGGACCAACCCCAACTAAATCATCCCAGCCAGGGCTTTGTCAAGCTGGGACTTAAAAGCCTCTAGGGATAGAAATTCTACCGCCTCCTCTTATATAGCCCATTCGAGTGCTTCACCACCCTCCTAGTGAAATA